TTTTTTTTTTTTTTTTTTTGGTACTGGGGATTGAACTAGGGTCCTTGCATTTGCAAGGCAGGTGCTGGAACCACTGAGCTAAATCCCCGGCCTTCCTCAACTAAAGTTTTTTTGTTTTGTTTTTTCTTTTCTAAAATCTGTTTTACATGTAAAATTGCGAGTAGGATTTATTTGTACAACAGGCTCCAAGATTTAAAAGAAAGTTGGCCTTGCTGGGGTGTGGTGGCACACACCTGTAATCCCATCACTTACAAGTTTGAGGCAGGAGGATCACTGCAAGTTCAAGGCCAGCCTATAATACATATATAATACGTAGCGAAACACTGCCTCAAAAAAAAAAAGTTGGAAGCCATTGCTGTTAGAGGCTAGTACATATATCTTAGATATGTATCTAATCCATTTATCTTCCTGCAAAATAGAGTACAAGAGAAGTGGCACAGGTAAAAAGGGAGGTTGCAGTAGCAGCTCTCACTTAAAAGCTGTGAAAGAGAAAGGAGTGATGAACACCTTCTCACACCTTTCATCACACCTTAGGAAAGGATGTGGTAATAGCCAAGGTAACCTAGCTAATCCCCTCTCTGTCCTTAATTGCTTGCAGGTTTCAGCAACATTTGCTGCAAGTCTAGTCACCAGCCCTGCGATTGGGGCTTACCTCGGACGAGTGTATGGAGACAGCTTAGTGGTGGTCCTAGCTACAGCCATAGCTTTGCTAGATATTTGTTTTATTCTTGTTGCTGTGCCTGAGTCATTGCCTGAAAAGATGCGACCAGCATCGTGGGGAGCGCCCATTTCCTGGGAACAAGCTGACCCTTTTGCAGTAAGTTTATTTTTTTTTGTTGTTGTTGTTCTCTTTGGTGAAAAGAAAACAAAGAAAAAAATACATGATTCAATGAAATAAATTCATTGCAGTGTTAAGATTTTGCCACGCATGCTTTTTGGGGAAAGTATCTTGAATCAGTTTTTAACATTTCAAAATACTTTTTTGGAGTAATTTGGGGACTGAAATAAATTTTAAAAGGTAAGTAGTTGTCATCTGTGTACAATTCCAAAATGAATTTGTGCAGGTCCTTAAGGGCAACAGTTAATTGTTTTTGATATAAGACCTTATGTCAGTCTTTTTCTTGTTCTAGTCCTTAAAAAAAGTGGGCCAAGATTCGATAGTACTGCTCATCTGCATTACGGTGTTTCTCTCCTACGTACCAGAAGCAGGCCAATATTCCAGCTTTTTTTTATACCTCAGACAGGTAAAATCACATTCTAACAGAATGAACTTTTCTTTTATTATGTAGTGTCAAAAAAAATTATCTTGAGCGCGTTATAATTAACAGAGAACATTAAGATCCATATCACTTTGTAAACAACAGTCTGCTAGATTTAATCTCTTGTTCAGGGCGCCTGATATTCCTTATTCCTTTCTTAAAATGATTTTTGGTTTAGCCAAAAAGTTTTCCTTGTCAAGATTAGTAGTTTGAGTTTATTTGTTGCTGATTAGGGTATAGTATGCTTTAACTTGACCCGTTTATCTCTAGTTTCTCTTTCACTGAGAAGCTATGTAAGGAGGGCAGCTAACCAAAATGATAGCACAAACAAATTTTTTCCTTCTCAGCGCTAGGCTTACTAGAAAGGAGTCAAGCCTTTATCAGTACCTGGATAAAGCTGTGTTGTTTCTCTGTAAAATGAGTCTGAATGCTTGATAGCTATCTCCAGTTTAGAATAACCAAATTAAAATCAGCATATACAAATAGATATTTTTAGTGTGTTGACTCACTGTATTTTTCATCTTAAATTCTTTTTTAATGAATTAAAAATTGAAATAAATGAGTTAAATATTTAAACTTTTATTTATAAATGTTTTTTGCTGGTCCATTTAATGTTAATGTACATGTAGTTGCATTAGTATGGTACTTTTTATGTCTTTTTTTTTTTCCTCACTAATTTTACTTGTTCTGGAAACCTAGATCATGAAATTTTCACCAGAAAGTGTCGCAGCGTTCATAGCAGTCCTTGGCGTTCTTTCCATTATTGCACAGGTGAGTTTCCTTTTTGATAGATTGATGTAGAGTCTGACCCTGACTGGCCATCCAAGTGGGGCCTCACAGAGACTGATAGCAGTAAAGTCTTACGTTGCATTTTATACTGTTCTTGACCAGTCACAGCAGCAGTAAGCACCTAGTAAATCCAAGCAGTCATACTGTGTATAGTGCTAAATTGAAGGACTTTTACAGGGAATTTGTTCCCTGTTCAGCACATGGCACCTGGCATGAGGGATACAGAAGAAAAAGTCTCTTGAGAGTGCAAAATCTGGTGGGCAAATTTGCAAATAAAGGAGAAGGGTGTGGTTGGATTTGCATCATACAAATTGCTGCTGCAGCAGAGTCGTAGCGCTGGTGAGACTGGAAGGGATCAAGTAGCGCTTCAGCCAGCATTGCTGGCCCAACAGATCCAGGCACATAGGCCACAAGGAATAAGACCCTTAAATGACAGTTTGGTGTTTGTTGCTTACATAGGAACCATTTCTAAGAGGACAAATCACATTAAAAGCATGTTAGTTGGCTTTCAAAAACAAGTGAACAGGAGTGTGTGATCTGCATATATTGACAAATACATTTTATGACATGATTTACTAATACTATGAGTAGCTTCAAAAATAGAAAGATGGTCTTATAGTCTCATTCAAAAATGTACTATCAAGAATGACTGATTCCCTCTGGACCTTTCAGGCTTCTCTAGCAGCATGGAGCTGCTTGTGGTTCCCCATTTATGCTTCTGATTTGTTCATTTTATCCCTTATCCAAGTGTCTTTCTTCCTGCTCTATTTTCTGCATCCTGTTCTGCATCTGTGTGTCCTTTCTCTGGGTTCCTTTACTGATTTGGGTATATCTCTGTCACTGTTCAGGAAACACTTGTACAGCTCTTACCTGTGTGTTTCTGATTATTCTTTCCTCCAGAGTTAGTGAGCTCTAGTAGAGTTCAGAAAAAGAGGTTGAGGTTGTGTATTTATCTTTGTCATCCTTGGTTCCTTCCCTACCTTCTAAGCAGTGGCTGCCAAATTGAGCCACTGATGTTTTTCCAGTGTTTTAAGAAATTTTTAAAATTAGTAGTAAGCATTTAAAAATTGGGAAGTGTTATGTGAAATTACAGATATCCCCTCACATGATTATATCTGCTAACACCAAACAGATCCACCTTCCAGTGGGAGTCAGATAGTTGCTGTCATTTTGGGGGCCTTTTTTCTCGCCATAGGCTATATTACAAACAGTGTGTAATTCCTAGTGTACTAAGTAAATGTTTACATGAGAACATAGCTGTCATTAGTTCTATACTTTTCTTCATGTTTCCTGTCTAGTTCCCTATTTGTTGGTGAGTTGTAAATTTATACCTGCAGGTCAATCCTGAAATCTGATGGGCCTCTCCAAACATGGCCAAAGCTAAAATCTGGATTCCTCCTCCCAGCACTCCTCAACTCTTCAGAAGCACCACCACCTGGTTGCTTGGGCCAGAAACCTTGGCATCATTCCCTACCCCTTACCCCAGGACCCCACATCCGGGCTATTGAATTATACTTCTGTCACCTCCAAAATACGACCTGCGTTGGACCATTTCTCATGTTCTCCGTTATAAGAAACCCAGTCTCAGCCATAGCAGTAGCCTCCTCATGGTGACTCTGCTACTGTTCTTGCTTCCTCATAGCTCATTCTCTAGTTGGCAGATTAATTTTTTAAAGTGGAAATGCAATCATTTTTTCTAAAACTCACTTTGTTGCAACCAGCATAAAATATAAACTGACATGACCTCATTTCTCTCTACTCTGCCTTAAGTTCCATTCTGGGGCCATTGTGTTGTCTGTTGCCCTCACTCGGGGTGCTCTTTCCCTCAGAACTTTACAGAACTGTCTCTTTCTCCTCACTCAGCTCTCTCCTCAGACGTCACCTCAGAAAGACCTTCCTTGTCTGTGTGGATTCATGCAGCATTTCTATCTTTCTTTAATTTCTTATTGCATTGACAAAGTGGAATTATATTACTTGTGAAATAAGTGTGAAAATGTCCATCCTCCCTAGAATAGAAGGTAGTGTGTGCTGACTGGTACTTGGACTTATTTATCATTCTGTCCTCAGACTTACGAGTAAGACTTGGACTCAGTAGGAACCTGGCGGATATTTATTGTCTGAAATTGACCAAAGCTAATGTCAGCGTTAACTGTTGAATCAGTGATGTGATCTTGGTTAGGTCATTTTAGCCTTTTGACTCAATTCTCTCATCTTCAAAATGAGAGTTAAAGGAAACAGATTTTTTTCTATCACACTGTATAAATGCGTGTCATTAATTTTGAGTTGCAAACATTATGATATTTACAGTTGTGCATGCTTTCATCAACACTGAACAAAGAACTTACTAGGTGCTAGTACAAAGGTAAATAAAAGTATATAATGCCTTCAAGAAAGAAATGGATGGATCTTTTTAAGAACGTCATAGGATTAAGTGTCAGTGCCCTTCAGATCTTCATGTCACAAGACAGTGTGAGAAGGCAAATGAGAGGTCTGTACTGTACTTATCCCACAAAGTGGGCTGCTATTTCTGATCCAATTTTAAAGGCTCTCCCATAGCCCAAAGAAAATGTTTGCTTCAGTCAGTGTATCTGTAAAATGGAAATGGGGCTAGTTTTTTTTGCTGTTTTTGGTGCTGAGACTGAACTCAGGGTCTCAAGCTGAACCTTGTTTAATGAGGTAGGATTTACTTGATAACTCCTTCCTTCAGAGGGAAATATACTGAATTCTCTAAATGTGGCCAATTAGGTTGGACTAAGGGATGTGTGATGACAACATGTTCTAAGAGGGTTTTGGTGTTTTTCATGGTCTATGCTTGCAAAACATCAGCGTCTTTAGACTGGTATTCCTGAAAGAGTATCTGCTTCACAGTACACTGCTGACTGATGAGCATGTTTCCAGAGCTGGAGTTCTCTGCTTCCTGGTGGAAATGGCCGGGATTTTGTCATAGGTCATTCTGCTTTTCAAGAGCAAGCCTCTGTGGTTGCATTTAGCAATGATGAGAAAAAATGTTTCCTGCTTTCTGAGTTTCTAGAGCCATAAAATGAATCACAGCTTTTCACATGGAAGTGCTACATCGAGGATAATCTTGAGTTTAGTTTAACAAACTTACTCAGTTTTGCATTATAGTTCCATGTTCCAGCCAATTTGATGCCACAGAACTTTGGTTATACGTAGATTTCTTTTTCATAATTAAAACCAATATCTGTTATAGTCCAAATCAAATCAAGAGAGAAATATTTTCATCCTAATAATTTCTAATCTTTTAGTTATTTTTGTAATTCTGGCCACCAGTCCCCATCCACAAACCATGGAAGCGTTTATTTACTACATTAGATGGAAGTAGCAAGTATGTAGTTTGCATTTAATTAAGGGAAATAAAAGTTGAAAATATTTTGCACACTCATCAAACTGGAAAATGCTAGCTTCAGACTGAAAGGGTGACTGTATTCATCATTTGAGCTTGTTATTAGCCAACTGCTGATCTGCATGAGTTCCCGTTTTTGGACTGTGGCTGAAGAATGAATAAATACTACACAATAGCCAAGCCTCATGGATTTAGTCTTGCACTTACATGATTTCAGTGAAAGTCTTAAGAAAGCTTTCAGGGAGGATGGCGCACACCTATTTTATTTATTTATTTATTTAGTTTTTGGGGTACTGTGCTTGCAAGGCAGGCGCTGGAACCACTGAGCCAAATCCCCAGCCCCTGGCGCACACCTATAAATTACAGCATTCAGGAAGCTGAATCAGGAGGATCACTGCAAGTTTTAGGCTACACAGTGATACAGCAAGTGAGTTTGGAGCCAGCCTGAACTATATAGTGAGACTCTGTCTTTAAAATAAAATTTTTAAAAAAGTTTTGAATCTTAATTGTTCAAAAATCCTTAAAAGAATTTTTACTTGTTTTTGTTTTGTTACTGGCAAATTTGTGACCAAATCTGATTAAACTCTTACAGAATTTAATTTAAAGCATTATACTTTGCCATTGTGAGATTCAGTTATAAAATAATAATTTCTTGAATTAGTTTCACTTTCTCCACGGACTTGCTAGCTGTCATATAAGTGTACTTAAACTTCAGAATAGTAAAAAAATATTTTCTAATGTTCACAGGTCATTGCTAGATTTCAGTGAACTCTGAATTATTATTACTATTTTTGGATTTTTTTGTACTGGGGATTAAACTCGAGACCTTCTGCTTTCGAGGCCCCACTGTACCCATGTACTTCTAATTGAGTTTATTAAAGGCGTACTGTATGCCAGGCACAATATTCAGTGCTTTATGCAGATATATCTCATTTCATTGACTGAAATACCTGCTGCTATCCTCGTTTTGTAAGATAGAAAACCGAGGCTCTCTGTGAAGTGATTTGCATAGTCAGCAGAGCCAGAATTATGATCCAGGCTGTTTTCTATGCTTTGTAACTATACCACTCTAAGTAAATCACATGTATTAAAAAACTGATGTACTGTTGATGAAACTATTAGAATCTCAGTTGTAGATTTAGAATTAGGTGGTAATCTCCATCTTTCATTCTGTACTTAAACCAAAATTAAAATGGATCAAAGACCTAGACACTAAAACAGAAGCACTGAATCTGCTGGAAGGTAGAATAGGTACAACTTGTAGGCATAGGCAAGAACTCTCTGAACAAAGCCCCAATTGCCCAAGCAATAGTATAAGAATCAACAAATGATGGGATTATATAAAATTTAAAAGCTTCAGCACAGCAGAGGAAACAACAGAGTGCAGAGACACAGAGACCTACAGGATGGGAAAAAAATGTTACGAGCTACTTCTTGGACAGCAAACTAATATCTAGAATAAATAAAGCTCAAAACCATTAGACTCCTCAAAATGAAAGGCCCAATTAAAAATGGGCAATTGAAATGACACTTTTCAGAAGTACGAGTGGCCATTAAGTACCTAAAACAATGTTAAGCAGTTTTGGCTGTTAGAGAAGTGCAGATCAGAACAACACTGAAAGTTGTCATATTCCAGAAAGAATATCATCATGAACTTAAAAAACAAGAAATGCTGGTGAGATTGTGGGAGAAAAGGAACTTTTCTACAATGCTGATGGAAATGCACACTCATACTATTATGGAGATCAGTATGGTGATTCTCAGAAAGTAAAAATAAAAATTACATTCAACCCACCTGTACCTCTTCTAGGGGTCCTCCTGAATTATTACATGAATACCCACGTTTATAGCAGTACAACTCATGATAGACAAATCTTGGAAGTGGCCTGTACATCAGCAGATAAGTGGGTAAAGAAAATGTGTGGTATATAGTATGCAAATAATTCAGCAGTGAAGAAAGATAACATCTGAGTTAACTGTAGGGAAATACATGCCTCTTGATCCTAATGCTAAGAAAATAATTAAGAATCACATACAAACATTCTGGACTAACTTTTACTTATAAAAATTTCTTTAAAGCTAAAACATAATATGTCTCAGTCATTAGTTACACCACTTAAGCCTTTGATTTTTAGAGACAGTGTCTCACTATGTAGTTGAGACTGACCTGGAACTCACTATGTAACCTAGGCTGGTCTCAAACTCACAGCGATCCTCCTGCCTCAGCCTCACGAGTGCTGGGATTACCAGAGTGCACCACCACGGCTGATCTTAAGCCTATTTTTAATGTCTGATATACTTGGCCCTCAGAAATGTACTGAATGCAAAAGTTTTACCTTTCACTTTTTTTTCCCTAACCTTAATCTAGAGCAATATCAACAAAAGGATGTCTCTCTTCTTTGCCTCAGCTTCCCAGGCAGCTACCTATGATTTCACCTATGCACCACTACACCTGACAGAGGGATCCTTCATCTCCTTACATGACCTAGAGCCATGAGCTCACATACATTCAAGACAAGTATTGCTGTAAAACTAAACTGTGGAAAAGTAGTCATTGTCCTGTTATAGAGTGAATTTATTAAATTGTTTTTTTTCCATTAAGTTTATTGGTACATTTTAGGTATACAGTACAGTTACATTCATCATTAAGATCTTGTGTCTTTACATGGTGTATCTTGGGTCTTATTTTTCCTCCATTCTCCTGGCCTCCCTTAACCACCCCCTCCACCCTTCCTAATTTACAATAACTTTGTTTCCATGTTTTTCCATTTCTAATATTTTTTCTTTTCCCTTCTTTGCTTTTCTTTATTCCTCCCACTTCCACTATGCCTTTGGACATTTTCTTGCTATTTCACAATATCAGTTATACATTTTGATCCTTGTTTACACTTTCAGTTTTTTATACCAGAGAAACTATTGGGTATTTACACGTGTCCTATTTATTTCACTTAGGAGTATGGCCTCAATGTGCATCCACTTAGCTATAAATATCTCTAGTTTCTCATTCTTTATGGCTGAGTAGTACTCCATTATATAAAAACACCACATCTTTATCCATTCTCCAGCTGATGGGCAGCTGGGCTGATTCCAAGTTTCAGCTATCACAAACTATGCTGCTATAAACATGGGTGCTCATATATCACTGTGGCGTGATTCTTTTCATTCATTTGGGAAGTTACCCAGCAGAGGGATAGCTGGGTCAAATGGAACCTCTAGTCCCAGCTCTTTGAGGTATCGCCATATTGACTTCCATAGTCTGCACTCACACCAATAATGGAGAAGGGTTCCTTTCTCCCCACAGCCCTGTCAGCATTTGTTACTGGCTGGTTTCGTGATAGCCACTCTTTCTGAAGTGAAGTGGAATCTCAGTGTTGTTTTCATCGGCATCTCTCAAATGACCAGTGATTTGAACATTTTTTCACTATGTTTATTTGCTGCTTTTACTTGTTTGAGAAATGTCTGTTCATTTCATATGCCCATTTTTGAATTGGGTCTTTACATTTGGGGGGTTCTGATTTTTTATTTATGTATTCTAGATAGTAGACCTTTGCCTGAGGAACAGCTGGTAAAATTTTTTTCCCCGTATTTGCTGTTTTTTAATTTTTCTTGCATTGCAGAAGCTTTTTAATGAGATCCCAGTTGATTTTTTATGCTAATTCCCCTGCTACTTTGGATTTGTTCATGAAGTCTTTTCTTTTGCCATTGTCTTTGAGAGTACTATCTAACTTATCTTCTAGCAAGTTTAGTGTTTCTGTTTTAATATTTAGATCTTTAATCCACTTGGATTTTAGTTTAGTGCATGGTGAAAGATAGGGGTCTTGTTTTAATCTTTGGCAAGTTGAAATCCAGTTTTCCAACACCATTTATTAAAGAATGCTGTCTTTCTTCCAGTGGCTCCTTCATCAAAGATGAGGTAGCTGAGTAAGTCTGGAGTTGTTTCTGCATCGTCTAATTTATTTCACTGATTCTTGGTCCTTTTCTTTGCCAGTGCCATGCTGTTTTTATTACAGTGGCTTTGTAGTATAGTTTCAAGTTGGGAATTGTTATACCCTCTGCCATGTCTCTTTTGCCTAGAATGGCTTTTGCTATTCTAGGTCTCTTGTGGTTCCAAATAAATTTTTGGATTGTTTTCTCTAGTTTTATGAAATGCACTATCGGGATGTCAATAGGGATTGTATTAAATCTGTATAGCAGTTTTGGAAGTGTGACCATTTTCACTATATTGGTTCTTACTACCCAGGAACAGGGAATGTCTTTCCATTTTCTTACATCCTCTTCGATCTCTTTTTTCAGAGTGCTATAGTTCTCAGTGTAGCAGTCTTTTGCTTCCTTTGTGAGACTGATTCCTAGATATTTAATTTTTGGAGGATGCTATTGTGAAGGGGATTGTTTCCCTAATTTCTCTCTCGATGAGTCTGTTATTTGTGTACAAGAAGGCCATTGATTTTTGAGAATAGGTTTTAAAAAATTTATTCTGATAAACTTTTTTTTTTCTTTTTCCCCAGACCATAGTCCTGAGTTTTCTTATGAGGTCAATTGGAAATAAGAACACCATTTTATTGGGTTTGGGATTTCAAATATTACAGCTGGCATGGTATGGATTTGGTTCAGAACCTTGGTAAGTATAATTGTTTTAATGTTCATTTTCTTAATGTAGGTATTTTATTTTTTTATTTTTGGGACTGGGGATCAAACTCAAGTCCTTGTGCTTGTGAGGCAGTCGCCAGAACTACTGAGCTAAATCCCCCACCCTAATTTGGGTATGTTAAACTTTGCTTCTCAGTGAAGGCCTAGACTTTATACTTTTGCAATGCTATTCCTTCAAAATGTGTATAATTTTCCACTTCTGTATGTAGATATTCTAGAGTGGCTTAAGGGTGGAAAGGTGACATTTTATAGCTAAGTGACCAGCTGAAGTTTTACATGACGTTATTGAGCTTTTGAATTCCTAAGGAGCATTTAGTCAAGATCACCTTCTCACTTGGAAAAAGCATGAAATTCCCCAGCAACTAGGCTCTGAAAATTGGCATTATTTCCTTTTTTGTTTTTTGTGTATATAATCATTGACAGCAAATGAAAAGTGGGCTGAAGTCCACTTGTTCCTGGTTTCATGCTTAATCTCAGTTTTTCTTGCATTCTGATTTCCTGTAGGAAGATGATAGTAAAAGGGTGACAATGGTGGCCTTCCCACATATACTGTTGTATACAGGTGTTACGTATGGAACTGAATTCCATGGGTTATACTTATGTTCCAATCAACTGCCTATAGTACCTTGTCTGTGTTTGGACTTGGGTATGAGTAAACATCAAAAATGTGTTTTGACAGCTGGGTGTGGTGGTGCACACCTGTAATCCCAGCACTTGGGAGGCTGAGGCAGGAGGATCACTGTGAGTTCGAGACCAGCCATGGCTACCTAAGTGAGTTCCAGGTCAGCCTCAACTACATAATGAGACCCTGTCTCAAAACAGAACAAAACAAAACAAAAATGTGTTTTGGTGGATGATTTTTTTCTCCAGTCTCACAAAAGTGCTTACAGTTTAAATTATCAAAAAATATAACGTCAAGCCAAGAGCATCCAGTTTACTTAGACTTTTGAATTTAAGGATTAGATCAAATCAGTGATGTCTTTATACTGAATTACAAGTCTGAGTTATTATTAGACTTGCTGGCTTATTAAATTTAGAAGCATTTTGATGTTTCTTTACTTGTATTATATATTATTCTCACTATCTCTGCTTTCTCCAGAAAAAAATCCCCATGACAGTTTACAGTTTCACATGATATCCCAGTTTTTTATTAAAAACTCACACCCTTGTTGTGAATAAGTAGTTGTTTCTTTTTGAGCATAACAAGATGACTTGCCCAGAGATACCTAGGAAGAAATAGAGCAAGCATGGCTCCCCTTCCTCCTGTACCACAGCCATTGTACAGTAAGAGTCACTTGATTTGAAGTATGTAGACCTTGATGGGTAAAGTGGAAATGAAGCATTTATTTTATTTTATATTATTTTTGTTCTGCTTCTTTGATCACAGGATGATGTGGGCTGCTGGGGCCGTAGCAGCCATGTCTAGCATTACCTTTCCAGCTGTTAGTGCACTGGTTTCACGAACGGCTGATGCTGACCAACAGGGTGAGTTGGTAGGAACCAGTGACATTTATTTAAAAGCACAGAATATTCTGATCCTGTTTTCTCTGTCTCATGTACAAGAACTGAAATGTGTGTCTTTAAGATAGAGAATCCTAAAATTATTGTCAGTGGTAAGCAAGAAGAGCAGATTCTAGGGTTTTACATCAGGTAGGTGTACATTCCCTTGTTTCTCACTTTGAGCATGTGGTCCTCTCCTTTTGGGAAGAAATTTAGCAAGTTTCATTAAGCATTTATTGTTTGCTTATGTTACACTAGACAGTTTGGGATACATTCATAGCCTTTTTATCAAAAGTGTACCATTTCAGTTATCTAAAGACATATAAACATAAAACTCTTATGCTTTTGTGATAGGAACATTTAATTATTGGAATGTAAATAGAGGAGGCATAATTCCTTGAAAAAGATACTTTTTTGGTTGTTGTTCATAAGGAAAAAAATGTGAAAGAAAGGCAGTGGTTACTTAGTAAAATGAGGAAAGCCTGTAGCTAAAGAATACGTTGCATTTTAAATTGAAGAGAAGGTTCCAGAGATACAAACAAACCCAACAGCACTGTATATGTATTTATCTAAAGCAGCCTTCTGTAGTCTCTTGGGAATTTTTTTGGTGGGTGCTGGGGATTGAACTCAGGCCCTGCGGTTGTGAGGCATCCCCAGTGCCACTGAGCTACATCCCCAGCACCTCTTGAGAAATTTTTCAGTTGTGATCTCATGGCTGACTTTTAACCAGGGGTGTTTTTGCTTAGTTATTTCTGTTCAGCCTATATACATAGGTATGAGTATGGATTCATGTTTGCATAAGGTGTACTATGTAGAGCTGATGGCTTTCAAGGTGTTTTTAATGCCATTGTCTGTTAAAAGTCTTGATTTCATGTTGACTGCACATTTATCCTGGTTTTTAGAGTACGAGATAGGTATAGTGTACTAAATAATTTCTGTAAACATTGTAGGTGTTGTTCAAGGAATGATAACAGGAATTCGAGGATTGTGCAATGGCTTGGGGCCAGCCCTTTATGGATTCATTTTCTACATATTCCACGTGGAACTTAAAGAACTGCCAATAACAGGAACAGACTTGGGGACAAACACAAGCCCTCAGCACCATTTTGAACAGGTAATTCTTCATTTACATGATAAAATTGTGTAGTTTATGATTTTTGGCATCATTATTTTTTTTTTTTAAGATTGACTAAAGCATGTAAAAACCAAAGTCTAAACTGAAAATGGGGGGGGGCAAAGACAAGGGACTGTGTTCTCCTTACATTGGCTGTTGAGTCTTTCCCTCTTAAGAATGATAAATTTATCTAGTTTGTCAAATCACATCTAGCGATGTATGTTAACTACGGCTGTGTATAACTTTTTGTTTCCTGAGGCTTAGTTTTTCCTGTTAAGCCTGCCTCTGTGCAGTATGTCAGTTGTATGTGTCTTTGTTAACTTGTTTGCTTTATTTCATCCTCGTATCTGAAAATACTAATGCCAAACAACATTGATCATTTTAGTGAATAGAAACTTGGTTTTCTGGGAAACTTTTATTATTAGTACCTATTTATTTTATAGAATTTTTGGTTTCTGTGTGTATATTTTGATCACATCCATCCCATTATACTTCCCTCCCCCTCATTCCTTTCTTCTGTTCTCAAAATCATTCCCTTTTTTTTTACTGTGTGTCATCTTTTAGATTGCACTTATCAGGACGGATACATGGTACTTGTCTGAGTGTAGCATATTTCGCTCAGTACGATGGTCTCCAGACACCCATTTGCCTGCAAATGATAGAATTTTGTTCTTCCCTCTGACCAATTCTCCATTTTGTACTGTATCTGTATTATGTTTTCTTTGTCCATTCTTCTGTTGAGAGGCGCCAGGGCTGGTTTCCGATCTTGGCTGTTGTGAATTGTCACAGTAAACATGGATATGCAGGTATCCCTGGAAGATGCTGACTTCCGAGTGTATTACTAGAGATACAGCTAGATCAAATGGTAGCTCTATATTTTTAGTTTTAGGAGAAATCTCTATACTGATTTCCGTAGTGGCTGCACTGTTTTACATTCCCATGAGCAGTGTGGGGTTCTTTCCTCTTCAATCTCACCAGCATTTATTATTTTGTATTCTTGTTTTTTTGTTTGTTTGTTTTATACTGGGGATTGAACTCAGGACCTTGAACTTGTGAGGCACAGTGCCACTGAGCTAAATGCCTGGCTCCTATTGTTTTGTATTCTTGACAATAGCCATTCTGAATAGGGTTAGGGGAATTGCAGTGCAATTTTGACTTAAACTTCTCCAATGGCTAAAGAAGTTGAAATTTTTTTCATATAGTTATTGGACATTTGTACTTCTGAGAAGTGTCTGTTCAGTTCATTTGCTCATTTACTGAGTGGGCTATTTGATTTTTCAGTTTTTTGTTTTTTTAGTTCAGTATATATATTTTAGGTATTAGTCTTGTGTGTGAAGAGTAGCTGGCCAAGATTTTCTCCCTTTCTGTAGGCTCTTTATTCCCTTACTGTGCAGAAACTTTAATTTGATGTAGTCTGATTTGTTGATTCTTGCTATTATTTCCTCTGCTATTGGAGTCCTAAAAATCTCTCTGTGCCTCTAGCGTCATGTTTCTCCTTTTGTTCCCCCGCTGGCAATTTCAAACTTTGAGGTCTTATACCTAAGACTTGGATCCATTCTGAATTTGTTTTTGTACAATGTGCTAGGTAGGGATCTATTTTCAGTCCTCTACAAATGTATATACTGTTTTCCCAGCACTATTAAAGAGGCTGTCTTTTCTCCAGTTTGTATTTTTGGTTTATCAGAATCACATGGGTGTGCTTGCATGTTTGTGTGCCCTCTGTTCTGTTTCAGTGATCTGTGTTTGTTTGTTTGTTTTTTGAGATAGATTCTTAGTATGTAGCCAGGGCTGGCATTGAGCTTGCAGTGATCATCCTGCCTCAGCCTCCCAAATGTTGGGACTACAGGTATTTGCCACCATTGGCTTTTAATATAAGTAGATACTGTGATGCCTTCAGTCTTGGTCCCCCCCACCCCCCCACCTCAGGATTTCTTTGGGTATTCTGCATTTTTTGTTTCTGTATGAATTTTAGGATTGTTTTTTCTAGTTCTGTGAAGGATAATGGTATTTTGATAGAGACTGCATTGAATCTGTATATCACTTTTGGTAATCCATGGCTATTTAAACATTAATTGTGCTGATCCACAAACATGGGAGGTGTTTCTATCATCTTCAGTTTCTTTCTTCACTGTCCTGTAATTTTTATTGTACAGGTTGTCTTTCACCTTTTTTAGATTGACCCCTAATTTGAAGCTATTGTGAATGGAATTGTTTTCTTGATATCTTGGCTCATTGACTATTGGTGTATAAAAAACTATTGATTTTACATGCTGCAGGAATGCAATTTCCATTTTAAATCAGAGGAAATGGTAATTGAGTTTACTACTGGAATTACTACTGCTTTCCTTTAGGGCTATCAAATTAAGGCATTTTTAAGGCATTTAGAACCTGTTTTCAGATTTTGTGTTAAAAGTAATGACGTGGCATTTCTGTATAGGCTTCTTTGCTAATTTTAAAGTTCTTGGTATTTTTATTATTAGGGTTTATTTTTCATTTTTTATTTTTTTGCTACCAGGGATCAAACTTGGGCCCTTGTGCCTACGGGCAGGAGGCGAAATGATTGAGCCAAATCCCTGGTCTATTAATTTTACAAACCAAATTTCCATGATTCATGTTTTTATCATATCCATTCCCCCTATTCTCTTCCTCTTTGTCTAATAATAGTCTCTACTTTCATGTCATTTTTTAGATTCCACATAATAGGAAGAAAATTATATTAACACTTTTCTAGTGTATTTCACTTAATATGACGACCTCCAGTTGCATCCATTATCTTGCAAATGACATTCTGTTTTTTATAGCTGAGCGATACTCCTTGTGTATATACCACATCTTTATTCACTTGCCTGTTGGTAGGCACCTAGGCTGGTGCCATGTCTTGGCTACTGTGAATTGTGCCATAGTAAATGTCAGTATACAGGTGTCCATATGGTATGCTGACTTTAATTCCTTCAGGTATAGAAGGAATGTAGTATAGCTGGATCAAATGGCAGCTCTCGTTTTAGTTTTTTGGTTCTTTTTGGTACTGGGCATCGAACTCACGTCCTTGACCTTGCGAGGCAGGTGGTGTAAACTAAATACCCAGCCTTATTTTTAGTTTTTTTGATTGTTTTATGAATCCTTATTTCCAGAATTTTACAATGACAGTAAATATCCCTTTTCTCCTGAGAAGGGAATTCTTTTTATAACTATGGCTTTAATAAAATCATAGGATGGTAATTCACAATGATCAGTTCTTACTGAAAGATAAGCAGTTTGTTCTGATGAACAAGTTATTTGTGCGAAAACCCTAATTATTTTTTCTTTCTCAGAATTCCATCATCCCCGGGCCTCCCTTCCTTTTTGGAGCCTGCTCGGTACTGCTGGCTCTGCTTGTCGCCTTGTTTATTCCGGAACATACCAATTTAAGCTTACGGTCCAGCAGTTGGAGAAAGCACTGTGGCAGTCACAGCCATCCACATGGTACACAAGCGCCGGGAGAGGCCAAAGAACCTTTACTCCAGGATACAAATGTGTGATGACTGAAATCAGGAAGATGTTTCTGTCAGCACCCAGGTCTTAGTTTTCACTTGTAGTTCTGGATGTACACTCCATTCCCATCTGCAGGTACTTTAAGATTATCTCAAGAAATGTATTTGCGTGAACTCCGTGGGAACTAAAGAAAGAACCGGACAGTTTTCCAAAGATATTACAGTTTCTTTTGAAAAGAAACCTTTTGTTTATTAGCACCAGTTTCTTGCCACTAAACTGTTTTATTACACATCCTTTAATTAAAAACTGTATATGTAACTTCCTAGATATTAGCATATATTTCTCTGCTACCATTTCCTTATGGTGTTGAGCTTTAACTCTATGCTCTCAGTGAGACTGAATAGGTATTAGGATTGTGGACCTGTTCATTTTTAACATTGTAAAATCCCGAGTCCGATTTTTAATATTGTAAAATCTTGGGTTAAATAATTCAAAGCCTTAATGCAGATGCACTAAAATAAATGGTAAATGAATTGTTTGCATTAAAAAAAAATTAAGAAAATTGTACTAAATCTGAATCATGCTTCAAGCTTGTTTGCAGTAATTTTATTTTACAAATCTGTTTTTGAAGTGAGAAAATATCAGCCATTTAGAGTTTAAATTAGGATGGTGAGAGCCTGTAAATAAATGCAGGCTCAAATTTGTTTCCGAGTCACTACTGTATACCACTGTCTTTTTGTTTGCGTAATCATCAGAACCTCAACACTTGAATACATAATCTAAAAATTATATTAGTAAAGCTGGTAGCCTTGAAAATATCAATGGGATATCTATATGTAGATAAATATATATAGTGGCCTTTCAGGACTGTCACAGTAACACTTTATTTACAGAGCTAATGTTTATCCTAAATTTTCAGGACCCTAGGAGAGCTTTATACAATTACTGATGTGAATTTCTCTAAAGTGTATATTTTTGTGTCCAGTTATATTATTTAAAAAAAAGTGTTACTTTGTAAAAAATGTACATAAAGTTTATTGTATAGTTTACACTGTTTTCATCTTGTGTGTGGTTATTGCCTAATGCTTTTTAAACTTGCAACACTCACTGGTTAAATAAGGTCATAAAAATGTAAATATTGTTAATAAAATTAAATATTTTAATGATTTTTATAAAAAAGTCTTGATCTGTGAATCCCTATTAGGGCCTGTTTTAGCTTTATTATCATAATTGTTTCTAAGTAACAAAGCATCTCTGTTCAAATCCATTTCGTCACTATAAAATACCCTTACAGAAAAAAGTGGAAATTTAGTGTAAGATTTTTTTCATGTCATATTCAATGTAATTTTAATAACTTTATTAACAAAAGTTTATAGAAATAACATTAAAGGCAACATTCTGATTATTAACACATGTACAATTATACACTGGAAAGAAAACAACTTCAATTAAAATTTTAAGAGGTAGGCTAAAGTCTATATACATAATACAAAAAATTTCTAGCAGGGTGACATCAGAACAACTTCTTAATATTCAGTTTTCTATGTGGTATATGGAGAGGTATCTATGACTTTTAAAGCTAGAAGTATGTTACATATCCATCAAAACCCTGTCAGTGTTTATATATACATAATATAGAGTATTTACAGCAAAGCATATTCCCATGTTGCCGACTTCCCAGAATGTGCTTTCATGTTGTTATACCTGTTCTTATTAAGATAGTATATTTAAGAGAAAAGTCACTAAGTTAATGAATTTTCTGATTAGATCTGTATTTTAAGATAGCTGGCAATTGCCAGCAGTTTTCAAAGTAGGACTCAAGACATCTTAAAAAAAAAAAAAAAAAAAAAAAAACCCAGCAAAGATTCTGTCTTAACATAAACCAAGTAATGTTGGTGTATCATCTTGACATGTCTTTCTCCTCATCTATGTAAAGTATCTGAAAATAATTTGTAAACTATCAAATAGGCATTAGCACCTTGCAGATAAAAACTGATTTAGAGGACTCAAAGATAATGCTATTCTACATAGAGTGGTTGTCAATAAGAAAATAAAAATGGGGCCCTATGATTCTGGATGAATTTTAAAATTTTGTCCCAAGAAACTTAATTAAAACATTTAGTAAGAGGGAAGAGAAGAAATAGTTCTTTTGCCTACTTTATTAAGTAAACATTAAAATGAGTCCAGGTTCTGATATAAAAATAACTACAATGAATACTCATAATGCTCTTACACTAAAACTGTGATTCCAATTTTTTAAAACAATTCCATGGATACAAAATTAACTGCAAAACAGTTACAAATTGAAGAAAAATTTGATGACTGAACTTGAGCTCCAGTGACTAAAGCACTTTATACTTAATCTAGTCATATAAATAGTGTCTAAATTATTTGTACAAATATATTTAATAGACTCCACAGCTAATTTAAATGTTTCAAGGAACATACTCATACTTACTTGCTATGGAAGTTTAACTCATTTGTTACATAAAGTATGGCTAGGACTTTTCCCTTTAATATAAAGATCAAAAAATAGAGATAATCATTTTCATTCATAATTCTCAGGTGGCAACTTTAAAACATTTTACCAGTGAAACTGGTAAATGAGCTATTAGCATTCTTTGGTTTCTATTTTCTGAGCAGATTTGAGTTTACTCAGATTTAAAATATGATTAGAATATCCTTTATAAGGATCGATACACTCAGTTTAATGAAATTCATATTACTATTATTTTTATCAACAAGACCCCAAAATAATCACTTACTCGGACTCTACCAATCCCCAAGTACAAATGTGTTCCTGTACAGTAATCAGAGTTGTAAATGATCCAAACAACCTGACAAAAAGTAAAATCTGAAACTTGCCTGCTTAGGATTGGACTTCTGTTAACAGTTTTAAACCACCTGAGTTTGTAAAATGCCAATAAATGTATAAAATGGTGCTGGAATTAACTGCTTGACAACTGTCCAGGGAAGTAGGCTGAAGATGTGGAAGGGAGCACTGTGGGTTTGGAAGAAGTCTGCAGTGCTCCTAAAGTGCCATCTTTTTGATGGTCTGCAAATGAGGACAAAACAAAATGATTATTGTTACTTATGTCATTATTTAATGAAACCATGCTGTGTAAAATCCAGTCCAGAAATGTCTTCTCACCTGCATTACTAAATAGATTCTGGCTGAGACCACGTAAAGGAATACTATCTTCTCTTTTCTTCAGGTATTTGGATTCCAGCCCTAAATTTTCTCCACTTGAAAGAAAAATAGTAATTACTTATTCTTTTAACGTCTGATTTTCTCTTTGAATTACTTTTGAAGGCTTACACAGTACACACACTAACATGTAAGTTGGATGCCCCTAATCCAAGAGTCAAAAATGCTCCAAAATCTAAGACTCTAGCACGAACATAACTACAAGTAGAAAATTCCACACCATAGTCAAAACATGAATACACTAAAAATACTATATACAATTATTTTCAACCTATGTATGAAACAGATGAATTTAATGTGTAGACTTAGGTTTCATCTCTAAAATACCTCATCTTGTATGTTCAAAAATTCCTGAAATCTGAAAACATCTCAGGTAAGGGGTACTGAACCCGTACTCCACATAAGCGAACCGGACTGGCAATGTGGCTCGGTGGGTTTGATCCTCAGGACTGAAGAAAATAGTAGACTAACATATATAGGTTAACCTAGTTCAGATCACATGCTTCACTGATTTCCTAAGCAAATATAATTTGTACATAACCAAACTATTCCCCACAATAAAAAATATAAAATACGTGGAATAAGGAGTCTGGGAGAAACAAAATTTTTCCAAGTTTTAGACAGCACATAAGGCATGATAAAGAGCCGGGCCTGGTGGCGCATGCCTATAATCCCAGCACTTGGGAGGCTGAGGCAGGAGGAACGCTATGAGTTTGAGCCCAGCCTGGGCTACATGGTGAGTTCCAGGTCAGTCTCAACTACATAGTGAGACCCTGTCTCAAAAAAACCAAAAAAAAAAAAAAAAAAAAAAAAAAAAAAAAAAAAAAAAAAAAGACGATAAAAATACATATATGGCTTGGGAGTATCATTATTTACTTAATTCTGTTTCATCCTATACTTAAACAAGATTTTTTTACTTTGACCAAAAGCTCTTCAAAACTTTAGTGACTCAAAGTGGTCATTGTCATGTATCATATTAATACATGATATTTATCACATTAATAGACAATTTTGGTAAGATCGGTACAATGTAAAATTTCAAAAAAAAAAAAAGGGTATTTCTGTATTTTACCCCTTTCTACCATGCATGCCTTCTTTCTAGATCTATACAAGTGCTAACAGTTATTTGCAGAAAGACATTAAAGGATCTTGCCAAACAGTATCATACACTCAAAATTAAGTAAGTCCCCAATGTTCAGAAAAATAGATGAGTGAATAGGTGTTTTTTTTTCAATTAAAACTTACTCTTTCTTTAGTTTTTGATAACCGTACTTTTTGTTAGCTGAGAACAAAGGAACAAACCATTTCTAAACAAAAATTTAAATTACTGAACAACCCTATTTTATTATCAGATGATTTAGGCACTGCGAATATGACTGTCATTTTCTGCTAACAAGATGGCTCATGGTACATACAATGAGTTAAGAACAGACACTCATAGTTTAATGACAGAATTCCATTTCCCGACTAGGTCATTAATTGAATTGGTTGCTAAATGAGGAACTGTATATAGTATGTACATCACAATATTCAGAACAAAAAAATGGTCAAGGAATCTCCAACTTGATGACTTTGCTTTTATTTGCATTCTCTTACATGCAGTACTGTGTGTACCAGAACATAAAACTACAGTACTGTATGGTACAGTAAAATCAGCAAAAATTACAGTACTACACAACAGTACAAAAGACACTGAGGCTCTATAAATACCAAACTGTACACAAAAAGGACGGATAAAAATTCTTACAAAACTACTAGCAGTAAACTATGTCAGTAAGTACTCACTTTTCCTTGTCAGTGGAGCATGGAACACCAACAGCTGCCCCTGAGTGAGTATCTCCTAGTGATGTACTCGGTTTTGTAAACTGTAAGTTAAACTGAACCTGTAAAGACGGAAAACATCTCATGAAATTAGTGAGAACTTCATTTTTCACAATAGTTCTGTAACTGCGATGGGTGGCTACGTTTTTTGTTCTTTTTGATAAATCTAGACTGGAAAAATACAGATTTTACCTATACTTACTGCATAAACATCCTACTGAGTTAACAGAAGTTCTATTTCTCCTTATGACAAAAGTTCCTGTGATAAAAGCAACATGAATAAGACACAATGATCTTGTAACCAGTGAGGGAAGCCAAAGGGAGAAGGGAAGGAGACATAAAAAGAGCTAAGATGTGTTATGTACACATACCAGCTCCCCACAGTGAATGTAATCATTATGGACTGCAAACATAAAAATTTAAAACCACAAACATTAATACACTGAAGTAAGTGTGACAGTGTTAAAAGTCACCAAGTATCACAATAATGCTTTTACTTAATGCATTCTAAAAATTTCCCTTTTAAGAACTTTCAAAGTTTTATACTTAATGTTTCTAAATGAGTGCTTTGAATTTTGAAATAGTCAAAAAATCAGGAATCTATACAAAAATTTAAAGTAGCATGAGTTTATTTATTGAAATAGGGTCTTACTATGTAGTTCAGGTTGCACTTAAACTTATAGTGATCCTCCTGCCTCAGCCTCCTGCCTCCTGAGTACTGAGATTACAGGCAAGTACCACCACACCTTGGTACAGTTTAAAGTTATAATGTTTTTTGATTGAGTTTTATACCAGGAAGATAAGGCCAGGTCCTATATTATGAAATCTACAAACAGTACACCACCTTAGTAATACATAAAAGAAGGAAAAATGACTACTTCCATAAAAAAGAAACACAAAACTGTATATCTTTTTTGGGTAAAAACTCAGAACGAAGAATAAACATACTAGTTTAAATAAAATTATAAATTAGGAAAAAATGTACTTGGGGTATTGGCATTCAGTAATGTAAAGGTATCAGATCTTCCATATCAATCTATATTTAACATAATAGCATTTCATAAAAACAGGATTGTTTAAAGTGGAACAAGTCAATTCTAATGTAAAGAAAAAGATTCAATAATGGGATTAAAAAGCGGTAGACAATATGAATAAATCATAGAGTTTGTGGCCGCCAAAAATTAGAAAGTTGAACAAAATAAAAAATTCTCAAATCACAGAAGAATACAGGATTGTGATGTCTGAGAGAAATAATGACCTCTGCAATGGCCCAGGCTTCTAACTGGAGGTGCTTTCCTGATAGCAGGTGCAGAGTATTCAACTCAGGAGAGCAGTGATCAGAGAGGCTGCAGGCCAAGTTCTGACACGAAAACTGCAGAGATTGAGCTCTGGAAATCCACCAGGGGTTCTTGAGTCACTGCTGGTCTCCTGCACAGAGTAAAATCCCACAGGGGTGGTTGTGATAGATGGGATCTTTAATGTTCCTAACAGCTCCTGGGTTGGTGTCCTTTGGAGGTAGGAGAAACTCTGAGGGTTACAGCACTTGCCTAGCATGCAGAGAGGGCCTGGGTTCAATCCCCAGCAATGGCAAAAAACAAAACACACCCACACACCCCTGAAAGAATGGGGGAGGGGACCAACAGTAGCAGCAGAGAGGAACACTACAGTTCCTGCTGCCACTCCAACTGTGTGGGTCCCACCATAAGTTACTCTCGCACCTTCTCTGATCACACAGTGCGGCAAGGTTGTGTGTGAGCACCACAGATGGGGGTTGTGATTTCTGCCACCACCTCTCAATGGGAAGCACCTGAGCCTGCACCAGTGTCTACTGACAGAACGCTGCTCGAGCAGAGTACCACAGACTGTTACATAACAAGCCGACGTCCACAGAGCCTGAGAAACCATGATCACCAAATAGGGGCCGCCGCTCCCATGGTACAGTCACACAGGGTGCACCAAGCCAGTTATGCCGTGTAACTACTCCTGCCTGAACTGACCAGGTCTCCACACTCATGAGTTGCAGAAACAGTGGGTCTCTTGACTCCAAAACAGTAGTCACTGTACCTAAACTCACAGATCATAGCCAACGAAGCTATAGAGATTACACTACAGTGTAATGGTTGAGACTCTCACTCTACGAGATGCACAAATTTCAGCTTAGGAACACAAGAAATATGGAAAAAAGAATAAAAATGCCTCCTTAAAAGATTATAACTACTTGGTTACAAATTACACAGAAAAGTAGATGAAATGACTAAGTATTCAAAAGAATATAAAGTATTTGTTGTTTTTTTTTTGTTTTTTTGAGACAGGGTCTCACTATGTAGTTGAGACTGACCTGGAACTCACTAAGTAGCCCAGGCTGGTCTTGAACTCACAGCAATCCTCCTGCCTCAGCCTCCCGAGTGCTGAGATTACAGGTGTGTGTCATATTGTTGTTTTTTAAAAACTCCATTAGAAACAAGTGAATATAAACAAACAGTTAAATGGATTAGGAAGAGAGATGGGTGATTCCAACACCTGGAAGGCTGAGGCAGGAAGAATCATCCAAAATCCAAGGCCATCCGGGGCTCCAGTAAGCTTAAGGCCAGCATGAACTACATAGTGAGACCTTTACAAACACACACACACACACACACACACACATACAATGAGAAAGACAATTCAGCATATGAGAAATTTAGTAAAGAGGAAACCTGAAAAAGAACCAAACAAATATTAAATGGAGATCCCACAAAATTAAATAAAAAATTCAGTTGAGAGCCTAAACAAAAGACTAGATTAGACAGAAGAATGTTGAAGCTCATACACAAGTAATTTAGAATATCATGCAGACAGAAAGGAAAAAAAAAAAGAAAAAGAATTAAAAGTGCATTCAAGACACTTGAAACACCACTAAACAATCAAACATTCTCATTATTGGCATATCTATAAGGGAAGAGATAAATTTTAAGGCACAGAAAACCTATTCAATGAAATAATAGCAGAAAACTTTACCACTGGGAAAGACATGGACATCCTGGTACAGGAGGGCATACAGAACCCCAGAGAGAAAAGATCCTCACTGTGAGACAGTATAGTCTAGTTGTCAAAAACACAAGACAAAGAAAGCATTCTGAAATCTGCCAGAGGAAAGTGCCAAGTCACATTTAAGGGCACCTCCCTCAAAGAGCAAATTTCTCAGCAGAAACACTACAGTCCAAGAGAAATAGACTGACAGAGTTCATGTCCTGAAAAAAAGTAATTGCCAACAAAGATTACCCACCTATGGTACTATTCACAATTTAAGGAAAAATAAAGACCTTCCAAGAAGTTGATGTAGTGCATCTATAATATGAGCTACACAGGAGACCAAGGCCAATCTGGACAACTTAGGAAGAACTTGTCTCAAGAACAAGAAAGAGAGAAGGACTAGTAATGTAGCTCAGTGGCAGAGTATTTGGTAAATTGTTCAAGGCCCTTACCTCAATCCCCAGGACTACACAAAGCAAAAAAAACAAACAAAAAAAACACCTAGCAAAAACTGAAGGAATTAATGACCACCAGAATAGCCCTACAAAAATTACTTGGGGAGGCTCTCTCTCCAGACGAAGAATGACAACTACTATCATGACTGCATGTAAAAGTAGAGATCTCACTAGAAGAGTAAATACACAAAAAGAAATATAAAAGATCAAACTACAAAGATAAACAGGAGGAAGAAATAAACAAAGCCCCACCTCTGAACATCATGAGCCTTTTGGGGAACATTCTTGATTTACACTGTAAAATTATTGTTGGACTTTGTGTTTTAATCCACTTACCCAGTCTGCATCTTTTAATTGGAGAATTAAGACCATTTACATACAGGGTTATGGAAAAGTACAGACCTATCATTTTGTTGATTTTCTTCTAGAGTTTCTATGGAAATCATTACGGAAATTCCTCAAAAAATTTAAACAAGAAATTCCATTTGACTCAGCCATTCCCTTTCTAGGTACTTCTTGCATGAGTGAAAGCCATCGTTAACCTGATACAGTGATACATGCATACCTATGTTTATAATAGTACAATTCATAACAGCTAAATCTTAGAAGCAGCTAATATGTCCATCAACAGATGAGTAAAGAAAATGTAGCATTTGCATACAATGCAGTACTACTTTGCCATAAATAAACTTGAGCGATCTGTAGGAAAAATGGATGTACATTGAGACCATAATGTTAAGTGAAATAAATCAGACACACAAGCTTGTATACTGCATGGTTTCTCTTATTCGAGAAATGCAAATTATAAATAATGAATAAAAAAAAGGACAGAGAAGAGGAAGTACATAAGATTTTTCTCAAATAGGAAGGGGGTCAAGACATGGAAGGAGAAAGGGGAGGGAAAAGGGACGAAAGAAGGAATTAAAATGTGTTGTGTGTATGTACCAGCTCCACACGTGGAATGTAAATATTATGTACTACAAACATGTACTAATGAAAGTAAGTAGCACCATATAAAAGCAAATACTGGCAAATTGAATTCAACAGCACATCAAAAAGGTTACATTCCATGATGAAGCTGGTTTCATTCCAGGGATACAAGGTCAGTTCAACATATACAAATCAAATATATTACCACAAAGAGAAACTCAATACCCCTTCATGATAAAAGCCCTCAACAAATCAGGTATAAAAGATCACAATGCAACATAATAAAAGGCAAGTATGATAAACTTATAGCCAACATTTTATTGAATAAGAAAAAAAATGAAAGCATTTCCACTACAATCAGGAACCAAATAAGAATGCCCAGCCTTACTACTCTAATTCAAAATAGTATTAGAAATTGCAGCCAGAGTAAAAGCATACAAATAGGAAAGAAAGGTAGAATCAAATTGTTCCTGTGTGCAGATGATGTGACCCTATACACAGATAAACCTAAAGATGCCACTAAAACACTCTAAGAACTGAAAAATGAATTTAGGAAAGTATAGCAGGATGCAAAATCAACACATAAAAATCTGTAGCTTTTCTATATACTAACAACAAATTTGCTGAGAAAGAAAAATCCATTCATAGCAAACACATACACAGGA